TATTGTATTTTTTGTGGAACATAAGAGGACAATGGGGGAATCTGATGGCTGGTGACGGGGAGAGTTTCTGAGAAGTGGTATCTTCTCAGCAGGATATAGGAAGCTGGCCGTAGAACCTTAGGACAAGATTTCCAATTCTAGTTCTAAGAACGTGAGACAGGTGAGAAGAGAACAACAATTCATCAGAATTTAAGGCTCTTTCCAGCAATCTTTTCTTCATGAAATAAAAACATGCCTATAGCTTTAACATGAACTTCTTCCATTTTTTAAAAAACTTCCCACATGAAGTTAGTTAATTCTAAGATTGGACTCTGGAAACAGGCTGCTACTCTACTTGAACTGAGAATCTTGCATGAGCAGCGTACACCTCAGCAAACTGTACATTTCCTCTGAGTCTCAGTTTCCTCACACAGGAAGAGCGTGCAGATCAGTGCCCCCCACGCAGTGTGTGACCCCTGGCAGCTGCCGTCACCACTGTGGGCAGCAGCTGCAGCAGTCACAGGAGTAGGAGTAGAGTAATAGCACAGGATTCTTAAGGAAACAAGAAGTTGCTTGGGGAAGAAATATTTGAAACTGGCTCATTTTGGTTGTTGAGGTTTTCAACTACATCCTTACTTTCTGCCTGCTGGATCTCTCCATTTCTGATAGAGGGGTGTTGAAGTCTCTAACTGTGATAGTGGATTCATCTATTTCTTCTTGCGTTTCTATCACTTTCAATCTCATTTAAAATAGCATCAAAAAGAATAAAATAATTAGAAATAAATTTAATCAAGGAGATGAAAAGTCTGTACAATAAAAACTATAAAACATTAATGAAAGAAATTGAAGAAGAACAAATAAATCAAAAGATATTCTGTGTTAATGGACTGGAAAAATTAATATTGTTAAAATGTCCACACTATCAAAGCAATCTACGGACTTAATGCAATCCCCATCAAAATTCCAATGTCAGGGCAAGCCCTGTGGCATAGTGGTTAAGTTTGCACACTCCGCTTTGGTGGCCTGAGGTTTGCAGGTTCAGATCCCAGGTGCGGACCTATGCACCGCTCATCAGGCCATGCTATGGCAGCATCCTACATACGAAATAGAGGAGGAGGGGCACAGATGTTATCTCAGGGACAATCTTCCTCACACACACAAAAAATTCCAATGTCATTGTTTTACAGAAATAGAAAAAAAACCCTAAAATTTGTATAGAACCACAAAAGATCCCAAATAGCCAAAGCAATCTTCAGAAAGAAAAAAAATTTGGAGGCATCATACTTGCAGATTTCAAACTATATTACAAAGCTAAATTAATCAAAACAGTATGATATTGGCATGAAAACAGACACATGGACCAATGAAACAGAAAAGAAAACCCAGAAATAAACCCATATATATATGGAGAATTAATTTTTGACAAAGGTGCCAAAAACACACTATGGGGAAAAGATAATCATTTCAATAAATAATATCTGGAAAAATGAATATCCACATACAAAAGAATGAAACTAGACCCATATCTTACACCATATACCAAAATCAACTCAAAATGGATTAAAGACTTGAATGTAGGATCTGAAGCTATAAAACTTCTGGAAGAAAACATGTGGGATAAGCTCTTTGACATTGGTCTTGGCAATGATTTTTTTTGGATTTGACATCAAGAGGAAAGGTAACAAAAGCAAAAACAGGTAAGTGGCACTGCGTCAACTAAAAAGCTTCTTCTGCACAGCAAAGGAAAGCACCAACAAAATGAGAAGGCCACCTATGAAGTGGGAGAAAAAATTTACAAACCACATGTTTGATAAGAGGTTAATATCTATAATATATAAAATGAACTCCTACAACTCAATGGCAAAAAACTAAATAACCTGATCAAAAAATTGGCAAAGAACCTGAACAGACATTTTTCCAAAGATATACAAATGGCCAACAGGTTCATGAAAGGTGCTCAGCATTACTAATCTTCAAGGAAATGCAAATTAAAATTACCATGAGATATCACTTCATATTTGTTAGGATGGCAATTATCAAAAAAGCAAGAGATAACAAGTGTTGGTGAGGATGTGGAGAGAAGGGAATCCTTTTGCACTGTGGTGGGAATATAATTTGATACAGTGATTATGGAAAACATTATGGAGATTCTCAAAAAATTAAAAATAGAACTACCTTATGATCTATCAATCCCACTTCTGTGAATATCTGAAGGAAATGAAATCAGTATTTCAAAGAGATGCCTGCACTCCAGTGTTCATTACAGCATTATTTACAATAGCCAAGATATGTAATCAACCTCAGTGTCTGTTGACAGATAAGCAGATAAAGAAAATGAAGTGTGTGTGTGTGTGTGTGTGTGTGTGTGTACCCAATGGAATATTATTCAGCTATAAAAAAGAAGTAAATCCAGGCATTTGTGACAACATAGATGAAACTGGATGGCAGTATGCTAAGTGAAGTAAGCCAAGAAATAGTCAAATACTGCATAGTATCACATATATATGGAATCAAATTTTTTAAAAAAGTCAAACTCACAGAAATAGATAGTAGAATGATGGTTTCTAGGGGCTCGGGGTAGTGAAAATGAAAAGAGTTTGGTAAAAGGGTACAAACTTTCTGTTACAGGATTAATAAGGCCTGAGGATCTAATGTATGACATGGTGACTATAGTTGATAATACTGTATTGTATAATCGAAATTTGCTAAAAGAATAGAACTTGTGTTGTCACCAAAAGAAAGGTAAATATGTGAGGTGATGGATGTGTTAATTAACTAGATTCGGGGAATCCATTCACAATGTATACATATATCAAATCATCACCCTGTACGCTTTAAATATACTACAATTTTGTCAATTAAAACTCAGTAAAACTGAAAAAAAGGAAAATGAATAAATAAGTACAGTTGTTTCATCCATCCAGGATACCTCAGACCTTTTTTTAGATTCTGATGGGTCTATAAACTAATTCAACCCTGCCAGTTACCATGGAAACATATCTCGGGCTTGCTGGAGCATCTGAAATGTTGGTATTTCTTTGATCGGATAATTTGGGCCAAATCCCAGGAAAGAAAAGAAATGACCTGACATCACAGTTTTGGTATCCTCTCTCTGTACCAAGCAGAGTTCTAGGTGACTTCCTGGGAGGTGTGTCTAAAAGCCCAGGGACATCTGACTGTTTACAGACTCTCTTTCCAAGAACTTTTCTAACATATCCTCAAATCTCCAGCAATGTAACAACAGAAAATGATTGCTACCAGTATTCCTGGATTTTTTCATCCCAAAGTTTCAGGAGAGTGGTGAGTGATAGAGGCCAAACCAGGAAAAAAAAGACAGCATATGGTTGAATCCTGTTTTTGATCCACTCTGGCAATCGCTCTTCTTTGGTGCATTTAGACTATTGATGTTCAATGTGATTATTGATATAATTGAATTCATATCTACCATTTTTGTTACAGTTTTGTATTTGTTGTCCTTGTTCTTTTTTTCTAGTTTTATCTTCCACTCTTTTTCTGCCTTTTGTAGTTTTAATTAAGCCTTATATATGATTCCATTTTCTCTCGTTTTTGAGCATATCAGTTGTACTTTTTTTTTTTGCTTTTTTTTAGTTGTTGCCCTAGAGTTTGCAATAAACATTTACAGCTAATCTAAGTCAACTTTCAAGTAACACTATACCACCTCATGGGTAGTGTGAGAACCTTGTAATAACAAAATAATTCTAATTCCTCTATCCCATCCCTTGTATCATTGCTGGCATTCATTTCACTTATATATATGCATATATATATGAGCATCCATAACCAAATATATTTTTGCTATTATTATTTTGAACAAACTGTTATCTATTAGATCAATTAAGAATAAGAAAAATTAAAGTTTTTATTTTATCTTCACTTATTCCTTCTTCAGTGCTCTTTCTTGCTTTTTGTAGATCCAAGTTTGTGATCTATATCATTTTCCTTCTCTCTAAAGAATTTCTTTTCATAATTTTTATTTATTTATTTTTCCCCCAGAGCCCCAGTATATAGTTGTATGTCATAGCTGCACATCCTTCTAGTTGCTGTATGTGGGACACAGCCTCAGCATGGCCAGAGAAGCGGTGCGTCAGTGCGCTTCTGGGATCCGAACCCGGGCCGCCAGCAGCGGAGCGTATACACTTAACCACTAAGCCACGGGGCCAGCCCATCTCTAAAGAATTTGTTTTAACATTTTTTGCAAGGTAGGTCTACTGGCGACAAATTCCCTAAATTTTTGTTTGTCTGAGAAAATCTTATTTCTCCTTCACTTTTGAAGGATAATGTCTCCAAGTACAGAATTCCAGGGTGGTGTTTTTTTCTCTCAACACTAAATATTTCACTCCACTCTCTTCTTGCTTGCATGGTTTCTGAGCAGAAGCTGGATGTAATTGTTATCTTTGTTCCTCTGGGGCTATGATGTTCTCTTTCCTCTGGCTTCTTTTAAGATTTTTATCTTTATCTTTGATTTTCTGTTGCTTGAAAATGATATGCCTAGGTGTAGTTTTTGGCATGTATCCTGCTTGGTGTTCTCTGAGCTTCCTTGATCTGTGGTTTAGTGTCTGACATTAATTTTGGGAAATTCTCAGTCCTTATTGTTTTAAATATTTCTTCTGTTTCTTTCTCCCTTTTTTCTCCTGGTATTCCCATTATGAGTATGTTATACCTTTTTTAATTGTCCCACAGTTCTTGGATGTTTTGTCCTGTTTTTTTTCAGTTTTTCTTCTCTTTGCTTTTCAGTTTTGGAGGCTTCTACTGAGATATCCTCAAGCTCAGAGATTCTTTCCTCAGCCATGACCAGTCTACTAATAAGCCCGTCAAAGTCATTCTGTTACAATATTTTTGATCTGTAGCATTTCTTTTTGTTTCTTTCTTTGAATTTCCGTCTCTCTGATTACATTGCCCACCTGTTCTTACATGCTGTCTATTTTATCCGATAGAGACCTTAGTGTATTAATCATAGTTGTTTTATATTCCCAGTCTGATAATTCCTGCCATATCTGGTCTGATGCTCACTCTGTCTCTTCAAATGTGTTTTTTGCCTCTTAGTACTCCTTTTAATTTTTTCTTGATAGCCAGACATGATGTGCCAAGTAAAAGGAACTATAAATAGGCCTTTAGTGATGTGGTGGTGAGGTCTGGGCTGAGGGGAAGCATGATTAGGTCTCAGCCTTTTATTGAGCCTATCCCTCTGGACTGTGAACTTCAGAAATGTTTCTCAGTTTTTTTTTCTGCCCCTTTAGGTAGGACAGGATGGTTATAGAGTGGGCTGGAGTTGGATATTTTCCTTCTTCCATGTAAAAGGCTAGAGCTGACAAGAGCTGGGTATTTCCCTTCCCCCACGTAAGTTAGGCCCAGAAGGTTAGGCTCTGGTTAACTAATTTCTCCTGAAGGTAGGCATTGTTAAGAAGAACAGAATACTTTAACATTTCAAAATGATTTCCATTTCAAAATGGTTCCCTTTGCCCGCTTTCTGCAAGAAGCACTAGGGGATTTTTTTGCAATACTCACTTTGATGACCCAGTAAAGATCCTGGAGGTAAAATTCACAAAAGTGTAGGAGCCCCCAGTGACTAGGGCTCCCTGGAGTTTTAAACTCTAGTTTTGTCCACACTGAGCCTCCAGCAACACGTCCCTATATGTCAGATTTCCCTACCCCGGCCCTGGTTCCCACGTGGTTGCCGCTCCTAGGACTCTGCTCCCGTAGGCCATGGCTTGCCGTCTGTCTCTCTGATCTTCAGGCAGTGGTTTACCCTGTGTCCTCACCTCTCTTACAGATCCTAGAATTGCTGTCGATATTTTTAGTTTGTTCAACTTTTTACTCTGTTAAGATGGAGTGGCAACTTCCAAGTTTCTTCCATGTGGAATTGGAAACCTGTTGTTGCAGTTTTCTATCCTGTTTTATTCAACTTACATTCTATTATTTTGCCAGCTTCTCTTAGAAATCCTTCCTAATTTGAATTCTCATCTCTTCTCTGCATTCACATTAATAATGTCTCTAACTTTCCAGGACTATTTATAATAGAGCATTTTGTGACATTGATAAATCAGGTAGTGCAGGAAGAAAGCAGGCATGGAAGTAGAGAGTGGCGGTTCATAGATAAAGAGTATGGTTTTGAGCATGTTGAAGCTGAGAAGCTCATTGAAAATGTACATGGTATTTGTAATTTGGAATTTGTGTCTATGGTTCAGGCAAGAAATCAAGATTAGACAGCTTTGTATCAAACCATTATTCAGAGGCAATATTTTAATTTGTGTAGATGAATAAAATCATAACAGAAGAAGAATGGACAGAATACAAAAAAGCACCAAAACCAAACAGTAGAATTAAATTGGTCAAACAGGTAAAAGGAGAAAAACTGTTGTGCAATATTGTTTAAGAATGTAGAGCATGGACAACAGTAACAGATGCTAAAGAAACTGAAAACTCTCTTCTGGATTATGCTTTCAGAGAGTTAAGGATAAAACTTTAAGAAAAATTTCAACAGAAGGTGGAGCCAAAATAAGACTGTAAGGTGTTAGAGATAGGTGAGAAAACGGTGACAAAAGGGAACGTTAACTACTTCAACAGTCGAACAGGGAAAGACACACGAGAAGTTGTAGTGTGAGGGTTGACAGAAAACACAGAAGAATAGCCACTCACTGTGTATTCATTGCCATGAATTTATTTTTATTTAGTTCTATACTATCTTCTCATTCTCAATAATAAAGTCTTTGAATCTCATGTGTTTTCATTTTACCCTCTGTGTATAACACAAAACTTGTAGTATTCAGCAGTCAATAAAAAATTTTTGAGTGTTAGAATCATTGAGGATTAGAAACAACTGACAAATGTAACAAGGTGAATGGAAATACTATAGTCCCTCCAGGTCCTGTTGAATATGTTTATTATTCTTTCTAACTGTTATAATTATATCAATATTCTCACATACTTCTTTTCTTTCAGAATTCACATAATGATTCTATTCTTCCATTCAAGAAGTAGTTATGGAGTATCGTCTAAGAATTTTTGGACTTTTGCTTCTAATAAGGGAAGAATAGATAACTCAGACCAAGTCTCCTAATCATGAAAACTAAAAATTTGAAGAAAAAATATACAAAACCATCTAGTCAATTGCATAGGAGAGCTAACAAGTTATTGAGACCTAACTGACTGTGGTCTGGGGAGGATTAAGAAAAGGGAAATGAGCCCAATTTTTAGTGCTGCTTTTTGGTTGTGGGGTTTTACTTATTCCACAATGAACAACTGCAGGAATAAGAGATTGAACAGAACTTTTGACAACTTTTGGAGGCTAAGGGGAAAGATATTGGAATCTAGAATCTGCCCAAGTGTGAGGACCATGAAGAGTTCTAAAACTCTTCACTTTGGGCCAGAACCTCAAAGTTAAAAACCTCTGACTTACTGTCCAACATGAGAAATGCAGGCCTTTAAAGAGATTGTAGCTCAGTTTAAATAATCTCAGTTTCTGAAATTTAATTGAGGTGACTCTGGATTATTGGCTATTTAGGAGCCTGATGGGAGCAAAGAAAAATTATCTTCGGAGGGAGTAAAAATTATCCTAGGCTTCAAATTATATTTACAAACAATTTTGGAAATGCAATGTCTATTTAATGATAAAGAGTATCCAAAGGAGATGATCAGACAACAACAAACAAACAAAAACCCAAAAAGCAAATAAAACAGGTAACAAAAAACAAGCCCTCAGGGGCTCCAGATAGGATGTTATTAGCTAGAGACTTTAAAATATATTTGTTTAAAAAACTAAATACAAGACTAAGGGTTTTGGCAGAAAATAAAAAAATATAAAACTATAATAAAAAATAATAGAACTAAAAATAAAATAACTAAAATTAAGAACTAATGGATAAATATCACAGCAGCGTAAATACAGCTGAAACAATAATTATTGAATTGGAAAATATGTCAAAAAAATTTTCCATAATGTAGCTTAGCAATACAAAAAATGAGGAAAAAGGGTAAGAGACATAAGAAATACTGTAAGAACTCTAATGTTCATTTCACTGGAGTCCTAGAAAGAGGAAAGAGACTAAAGGATAGAAGCAAACTTTGAAAATACAAGACAGGTAACTTTCTAAAATTGAAGAATGATATAAAATCAAATATTCAAGAAATACTATACACAGCTGAATGAAAAATATAAATAAATATATACTTATATAATAATATAGAAACTGGAAAGGTTAACAGGAAGAATAAATCTAAATAAGCAGGCAGAGAGAGAAAAGCTTTACATTACTTTCAAATGTACAGCAAACTAATAGTTGCCTTTTCACTGGCAAGAAAATGGAATGATATCTACAATACCTGAGGAAAATTGCCTATCCAGAATAATATTCCATTGGAAGATAAACTTTAAGAATGAAGTCGAGGGGCCAGCCCAGTGGCGCAGTGGTTCAGTTTGCTCTGCTTCAGCAGCCCGGGGTTCGCAGGTTCAGATCACAGGCATGGACCTACCCCACTCATCAAGCCATTCTGTGGCAGTATCCCACATACAAAATAGAGGAAGATAGGCTCACATGTTAGCTCAGGGCCACGCCTCCTCACCAAAAAAAAAAAAAAGAATGTGGCTGAAATAATGACATTTTCAAACTAATAAAAACTGAGTGAATTTATCACCCTTTGACCCATTATAAAAGAAATACACACAAATTTCTTCAGGCTAAGGTAAAATAATACAGGATGGAAGACCAGAGATTAAGAAAGGAATAAAAAAAATGACAAGAATGAATATGTAGGTACATCTACATGAAAATTGAACAAAACAAAATGAATTTCTGATAAGCATACACACACACACCTGTACATGTAGAGAGCTCTCTCTCTCTCTACCCCCCACAGATTGAGAGACTATATTTACAAAAGACTTACATATGGAATATATAAAGAACTCTTAGACTTAATAAGAAGATGACAAATAATATAGTGAAAAAGTAGGTAAAATATTTGAATAGACATGTCACTGAAGACATACAAATGATTAATACGCACATGAAAATGTGCTTAAAATCATTAGTCATTAAGGAATGAAAATTAAAAATCACAATAAGATATATATATATATGTATTAGAAAAGCCACTATTAAAAAGAGAAATCATACTGAGTATGACAAGGATATGAAGCAACTAAAACTCTCATAAACCGCTGGTTGGAATTCAAAAGTGATACAAATATTTTGGCAGTTTCTATAAAAAGTATCAAAATACAATAAGTTGTACTGTGATGTAAAAATATACATAAAAATATCACTATATAACCCTGACATTCCACTCCTAAGTATTTAACCAAGAGAAATGAAAATACACGTTCACACAAAGACCTATGCACAAATGCTCACAGCAGTTATACTTGTATAATAGCCAAAACCTTGGAGGAAAAAAACAGATAATTGATTATTGCATAGCAGTAAAATGTATTGAATTATTAATACATGCAATAATATGGATTAATCTCAAAATAGTTATACTACGCAAAACAAGCCATATAAAAATCATACATACTTTACAATTCCATGTAACTAAAATCCTAGGAAGTTTTAACCAATTTATAGTGACAGAACCTGGATCACTAGCTACTGGTGATCGGGACTGGTGGTTATAATAGGATGAATTTGAAGGGAACAATGGAAACTTTGGGAATGATCAATATCTTCTTTATCTTGATTGGTATGATAGTTTTACAGGTGTATACGTATGTCAAAACTGACTAAATTTTAAACTTAAAATATTTCCATTTTTCTGTATGTCAATTATACCTCTGTTTAAACAACCCTGTTAAAAAGAAAAAATATATATATTAAATGGACCAGATGCTGCTATTTAAAGACAAAATAACCAGACAGGATAATAAAACTGCACCAAACCATATACTATTTATCAAAATATATCCAAATCATAGATACATAAAGAATGAGAAGAAAGTGACGGAAAAGTTACCATATATAAAAAATCAAAAGATTTAATTAGAAAGAAATCACAAGTAAACCCTAAGAAAGTAGAAGGAAGGAAGAACAGAAATTTATTATCAAATTATGTTAATTCCAGAAAAGGAAAGTTAATATAGCATTT